GCGCGGTGGGGCTTGCGGACGTGGGCGTTTTAAAGGGTGTCAAGCCCCGGGCTCTTTGCACTGCACCGCCCTGCAGCTCGGGCCACGAGGCGGAATTTGAGGGCTGGGGAAGAATTCAGATTCGCCCGGCCCTCCTATTTCTCAGATGAAGAAATTCTGTCGTGCTGGAAGTCACATCCCTCTGGTAGGAGCGGTGGATCTGTGTCAGGGAGGCACGGAGGGATGGTTTCCGAAGCAGGACTAAGGACCTGTTAGGCAAGAGATAGGAGTTTGGTTATGGTGGAAGTTTGCAGTTAACTCAGGACACCTGCGTTCCTCCTGCAGGGACTGATGTCCACCAGGCATCGGTTTCTCGAAGTACTTAACCGTGACGATGTCGTCAGTCGAGTAAAGGAATATTGAGGTGGCAAGGAGGAGCTGAGGAAAACGCTTGGAGTCTAGAGAGGCTAGAATTAAATGGGGGGGGGTACTTTATATGCAGTTTCACCCTTTATTACCTGTCTCCTTTTGCCATAAGGAGGGAAAATATTTTTGGTATACACACGTGATTCTGTAATATTTGTAACTTGTCTTTCCACCTATTTTGCAATCATTCTTTTGTATGTGGGTATCTTGTGTAGAAACACTTTTTCTGTTCACAGCAGTGCTGTGGTATGTGGCAAGCCAGTGACAGCACTAGTATTTAGGGCCTGAACATAGTTTAGCTGATTGTTTGCATAACTATCTTAAAGGGGGAGAGAATACCGATTAATCCAAAGTTTTGTAAGACTTAAGTAACTGATAGCATACAGTCTGGTTTTTCAGAGTTACTATTGCATTTATTGCTCTCCTCCTAAATAGATACCAGGCGATGAATAAGTTAGCTTCTTCCCCTAGGAAGACAGTTTTGCACTAACATATTAAAGTATTTGTAAGGCCCTCTTCCATCTTAAAGTTCCCTGATTTTCATGTTAACTAGAAACACAAGCCACTCATCGGGACAACAATCCCAGTTACTTTATCAGTGTTGGGTTCAAATAAGTGTTTTTTCAAATTGTAGCTACTTCAGTGTTAAAGTCATAGGTTCCATGAGTGGGATGGAATGCTTTGTGTATGATGGATACGGGCTAATATCTGATTTGAGAGTGGTATCGAGCCATGCGCAGATAACGTTTGCAATAAACCAAGAACATTCTGCCTCAGAAAATTTGATAAGAGCTCTTTAGACTGTATTCACATTCTGTGTATTTTCCACTGAGACGTAATAATTATCATCTTTATAGACACTCTGTCCAAATGTGCATGAGTCAGTTAACCCGTTGTGCAAAGCAGAGAGAGCCTCTCATCTACGGTTTCTTCTTTTCTGGCTTCTTTCTTCTGAGGGTCTCTTACCTGCGGGGACATTCCTCTTTCACCCACAATGTAATTCAAAGCCTGTTTCGAGCACAGACTGAACTTAACATCTTTTTCTCCTCTTCAAGACTATGATAAATCAGAACTCTTGATATATAAGATCTCCTCATAACGGAGGGTGAGTGTTCCTTTTGAGCACAGTTTAAGACTTGCTGAGGTTCTGCTCTGAAAAAGGGCTAAATGGACCGCATTTAGATTTTTGTCTTCTCTGTGCATGGAGGGCAAAAGGAAGCCTCCAGAGCCAGGAAGCTCATTAACCTCTGCCTCAGAAGGAAGCCCTTTCCACAGGAGGCAGAGTGGAGCTCCAAATTCTTTATTATTCTCCTGAGCCCTTTATCAATGCTGGGCTAAAAGAAGTAAAAAAGTGATCTTTCAAATTGCACGTACTTTAGTATTACACGAAATAGAATGTTAATGGAGCCTTGCATGCCTAATGCAGGTGTAAGGCTTTAGTTATTTTTTGTGTTGTTTATTCTGTTGTTTCTGAAGTCAGTTAGTATACTACCTACAAAGTGGCATTACTACAAGATTATATGCTCTGAAATTCTCAAATGTGTGAGGTCTTCGGGTAAAGCATCTTTAAAAGTTCATAAAAGTACATCTAAGGAGTGTTACAACATCACTTCAATTAATATTAATTTCTTATACTCAGCTCAGGAAAACATCCAAATATATGAATTTTCAAACTTGGTAATCTTGTTGTTCAGGAGTTAATTATGAGGTATCAGTGTTTCACCTGCAAAGCCAGAACAGTCTATAGATAGTAGCAGCTATAAAATCCCATCACATAACATGCTATTATTGAAAGAGATTAAACACGCCAAGTTGTTGTTGTCTCTTGATCGTGCAGCCATAGAAAGGAAAATGGACATGGAGTAGCTAAAGTGTATTGTTTTGTTTTCAGATTTTAGGGACTTCAAGGTGAAGGATGTGGCCGCCGAGAACTGAGGCAGCCCAGCGAAGCAAGTAGACTTGTGCTTGCACTCTGGAGTCTGCACTATGGGTTTTGGTCCTGACTGGTTCATTCATTCAACAAATACTCATTGAACACTGTAGGTGTCAGGAATGTTCTAGATGCTGAGGTGACAGCTGTAAACAAAAGGGACAAAGCCCTGCCCTCATGCAGCAGACATTCCTGTGACATGGAGGCAGGCAGAACGTAAATGTGTGAGTGCTCTCAGCACGAGCATCTGTGCTGTAGAGAATCCTGAAACAGCGTAAGTGCGAAAAGAGGTTTTTTGTGTTGTTGTTATACAGCGTGGACAGAGAAACCTCTTAGTAAAGATCATTGTTGATCTAAGATTTGAAGGATTCAAGCACGCGAGGAGGCAGAAGGGTGAACTACTTCAAGCCTGAAGGCAGGAGCGTGCTTGCGTGTGTGAGGCAGGGCCAGGGCACCGTGGCCAGTGTGGGCGAGGGGAACGAGGCAGCGGATGAGGGCCGGTGGGCGTGCAGGGGAGCATCAGTGTAGGCCATTGTAAGGAGTTTGACCTTTGCTCTGAGTGAGGGGGAGGAAGCCATGAGAGGGTTTGAATAGAAGACTTAGGGTCACATGTGTCTTAAAAGGATCACTCTGGCTGCTGGGCCAGAATAGTCAAGAGGGGCACCAGAGTCTGGGAGACTCACCCTTTCGTGCTCACTGTGGGGCCCTAACCCTACTTCTTGGGGTCTTGCTTCTTCATCTGTAGAACAACCAGGGCCCCTAGAACTGTAGAATTTTAAGAATGTAAGTAATGAGTCACTTTCAGGATGCAAGAAGATTGTATACAAAGAGGGTTTGAAAGGAAATAGCTTCAGATGACCTGAAAACTTGCAGCCAACCTGCCTTTAACGGATTCACTTCAAATCAAGGGTAATCAGGTCTCTTCAGTCAGGTTGTCCTGTTAGAACAAAAACACTGTTCCGTTAGTATTCTCTGCTGACTGACCCCTTTGGTGCTCTGTTGAGCCCTGAATTTTCCCTTCCTATTTGGAAAGGATGGAAAGCTGTTACTCATCAACAGAGCTGGCAACCGACGTAGCTTTTGTTATTAGAAAAGTTGGAAACTTTGGGGAAGGAAACAGCTTTAATTTTATATTTATCACTGGTCATTTGAATTCTTTTTTCACATGCAACAGGTCTAAAAGATTTCTGTAATTCCCTGATGGCTCATAGATACCTGTTCTAATGTACTGAATTATATATAGCATTGTGCAAAATGGGAATGTTTCTTTTATACGGATATATTTTCATTTGTAAGCCTATGTTTCATGTTGCTTCTTTTTCTAAGTCCTATTTTTAAGATCTCTGCTGTTTCTATGTTTCTGGCCGCTGCTCTTTGTTCTGTGCCAGGGGAGAACCACAGCTGTACTCGTCTGCAGCCTACAGTGACTCGCAGGTTGCCCTAGACCCTCATACCACCTGTTGCTCCCATGGCATCTGAGACCTGCGTGCTTACAAGCTGTGCCTTAGGTCAGTGCGTGTTTACAAGGACACTGCTGGATTATAGGCGTGTGTGTACTGAATTTGATAAAATAGGAGCAGATTTCTCTCCACACTGGCTGTACCAGTCTCTCTCCCTCCAGAAGGTTTAATGATCTCCTGTGTCCTCAAGCCACCGCCATCCATCCTTATCCAGTTCTTCACCTTTTCTAACCTCATAGGTTCAAAGTGATTTCTTATCATTTTCTATCGTGTTTCTCAGACTTCTTATCATTTTGTATCTTGTTTCATGTTTCTCTGACTGCCATCTCTTTGAGCAGCTCTTCCACACGTAGCTTCCTTCTCTAAGTTGCTGATTCATATCTTTGCCCTTTTTTCCCCCTGGAATTTGCCATCTGTATCTTTGCTCTTGACTTGTAGAAGTAATTTGATCCTATAGACATTCAGTAGTTTTCATGTAGAGACTTTACAGAGAGCTTCTCAATTGGTATCTGTTAAATTTGTCTTTGTCCTTTGATCAAGAAAAAAACTCTAGATTTCAGTGTGAACAAATGAGTTCTTTGGCTTGTAGTTTATGCTTTTGGAGTTTTGTTTAAGAAGCCCCTCTAGTCCCCAGGTCACAGCTATTGATACATCTTTAATTCATCTGGAGCCCACACTGCACGCGGTGTTAGGGAGCCAGCCCTATTATTCTCTGTTGAATGAGCTTTTTTTTCCAGTAACTTCTCCAAAAATTCTGTGCTTTCTTCCACTGAATTGTGGTATCCTTCTTCTCTTTTATGATTTCAGTAGATGTACTCAGCTGTCTCTAAAGCTCTATTTTGTTCCATGAGTTGGTCAATTCTTGCTGTATTTTAAAAAAGATTTATTTTTATTTATGCATACAAAAACTGGGGTACAGACCAGAGATGCAGGGGGGAGAGGATTCATCAGACACAGAGTGGGGAGCAGAACCGGCAGGTGGAGTGAAATATACTGCTGAGGGGAGCAGCGGGAGGGCCAGGAGAAGTCTACTGCACCATGTGGGTCACCTCCCTGGCGGGGGGTCAAACTCATGCTGCAGTGGCTGCCGGCAGCCTGACAGTGCTGTACCTTAACCTGCTGTGCCACCAGGGAGGGCCCTCTTGCTGTATTTTCATTGCTGTATTTTACAACGATCTTCATAGTATCTCCTCATAACTAATAAAGCAAGGGCCTTATCCCTGTTCAATTTTAAATTTACTTAGCTACTCCTGGACCACCTTTTCCATGTAAAACTTGGATAAGTCTATCAAGTTTCTCATAAATTTTATTTTTTGTGGAATTTAATTTTATTGGGCTTACATTTAATTTATAAATTGTTTGGTTCTTAAATATTAACTCATTTCTGCTAAGAGCATGGAAGGTATCTTTGTTTATTCAGTTCACTTTTTTTTTAGCATTTTGTTTTATTTGGAACTAAGTTAAAACTAACAAGAGTTCTTAGATCAGTACAAAGAGCTCTTGTACATCTTCTCCTAGATTCACCAAATGTGAGCATTTAGCTATATTTGCTTTATTACTATTTCTGTGCATATTTTTTCCTGACTCATTTGATTTACAGATATCAT